GAAATTGTCCAAATACAAGGACCTGGAGATCGAGATTATCAGGATGAAGGGAATAAAAACTTGTACTGTACTAATAGTAATCGGAACTTTGGGCTACAGGTGAAAGAAAAAGGACAATTTTAACAACCGTGTCTCAGGTAACAACAACATACATGTTGCCCAGAACACAGTCCTACTAGGAACATCTCATATACTAAGAAAAGTGCTATCAATTAAATGACAATTATCCTATAGGGCCTGACGACAATAGTTTGTATCCGGCTCTACAGGATACAAAGCAGGAAATATAACTACTACTAGTACTACTACTACTACTACTAATAATAATAATAATAAAACTATGGTATTGAAGTCCCGGATACATGGTACGAATGTTGATGATTTGGTTTGGTTTGGTTTGGTTTATTTGATCTTGATTAGCGGCATATCTACCTCAATGGGTTATTCAATGCCGAAATTTAAATATTTTGAATGCAATTGTATGACTTCAGCTATAGATGAAATTTTTTGTAATTTTACTATAAATATTTATTGTTGGTAATATTTTTAGAGAAAAAAAAAACTATTGCTGGTATTTTTGCTATAAAAATATATTTTTTTATACTTTCATTGTATATTGTTTTGTTGGTCACTATTTGTCCATAGTTGTGATCCTGACAGGTACTATCACCCCAAATGCTGATGGAGTGACTATACAGTGAAAATTCCCAATCCTAATAGATAGGAAAATTGATGTGAACAGACCAAACGTAATCATAAAATATTTCGTAAAAAGGAACCTGCAACTAATTGATATGATTTGCTCACTGAATTCCAAAGTTTCTAAAAAATAATTTAAAAAAAGGTCGAATTATTAGGACCTGCAAATAGAAGTAACAAATTATGAAATCGTAAGACTACGATTATCCCTGGATATAGGGTATGATAAAGAAGGATACCGAAAATCACGTGAGTACAATTAATGGACCCTTTAAAAACTCGGGGCTACAAAAAGATTACTTATTGCGGAACCAAATATTTCCTCCGCAAAGAAAGGTGTAGAGTGAGTCTACGTGTCAAACATATAATTATAAAATTATATAGGCCACACTACAACATGTTTGACACGCAGACTCACTCTATACCTTTCTGACCATAGCTCAATTAGATCTCATTTAATTATTCATGGAGACTTACCGGGCACTATTCACAACACTAATCTAATAGCATCATCTATATGTAAAAACAAAGGCTAAAAATAATGGAAGCCTTATTAATAAAAACAAAAAAAAATCAACACTTAATAATATTAACTTTGAACATGGACATAATATCTTGACCGTGTTTTGAAAAATGAATACATTTTATAAAACATACGTACAACAAACTATTTCTTATGTAACAGTTAAAGTATTTAATCCTTGAAAATGGCTATATGTATGGCCGAAAGCGCTCTGGTAAAAAGAACAGTGGAACAGTTTTTGTATAATTTGTCATCCGAAAAGAAACAAAAAAAGTTAGATCTTATGAGAAATTATATAAAAAAATAAATAAAAGCACCTTGTCTATTGTATTCCCTATATATATATATATATATATATATATATATATATATAATTATTTATTTAAAAAAATATGATTCCAACTCGCGACATAAGAGGTCTCATGTTTCAAAAACAAGAGCCGAAAACTTCAATATAATTATTTGAATTAAATTGAGTTAAAGAAAGCTTTCCATCTTCAAACTGAAATTTTTTTGAATCAATTTTTGATTCCAAAAAAAAAAAATCAAATAAGTCGCGAGTTGGAATCATATTTTTAAATAAAAATTATATTTATGCTCTATATTTGTATCGAGCACTATTTTTTAAAAATAATAACTAAAATACTAAAGAACTTTGGATCTACCTAACCAGTTCTTTCTTATTTTCTATATATTTTCACAATATATATATATATGTGGCACCATTTACGAGGCAGAGAAAGAAAGAGAAAGAAAGGAAGGCAGAAAGAAAGGCGAGACGAATCGTAGGTGATAAAACAGCCACACACATGGCCTAAGAGACAATGAAAATATTGATAAGTAACAAGTGAAAAAGTGTGTCATTACAATGACAGGGAATTTCTGAGTAAAAAAAGAAAAGGAAAAGAAAGAAGGAACCAGATGTGTTTTGATAACGACTATGTTATCTAGGTGCGTACACGAATGGCTGGACCACTGCCCAGGAAAAATTCAATTGAAAATGCTATTTCGATAAGTAACGAGAAACAGGCCGCTAAAAAGGACTTTGGACAGATATGAAAATTAAATGCCACCCAAGCAGTGCAGCTGACTGAATTCTTTTCGACGAAACAACTTTGCCCTGCGATAATAAAATAATGTTACCAGACATAGGTACCGAAGGAAAATGAATAGGAACCATAAGTGTTTTCCTTTCTTCCTTGGAGGCGACAGACTGACTGAAAATTTTCGGGATATTTCTTTTCTGAAGCCATGTTAAGAAAACCAACCATCTTGATAAATTAGCGATAAACTACCTGACAAACACCACGTGTTGAACAAAGAGTTGTCATATTGTCCGTTCGTGGCTAGAGAAATGATAACGGCGATTGAAAAGGAAGAAAAAGGAAAGAGAAGAGATAATTAATTTTTTTTTAGTTAAGCAAGGTATTTTTCCAGAAACAAAGCCGCGGATTGTTCACGCCCGACCAAGACCTCATTGGCCGAGAGTGATCACGTGACGCACGAAGATGGCTGTCAACGCCCCATCCAGAGTATAAGTATGAGAAGCTGCTACGAAGAAGTGGGGAGGGCAGTTCACGCCCCTCAGAGGTATGGTGAGAAAGTGGGAGGAGGAGGGGTTACCAAAAATGGAAAAGAGTGGAAAATCCCTAACCAGAAATAAAAGAGGTGGATATGTATTTAGAATTATCGAGAAACCGCCCGACGCCAACAGACCCAACCCGGTTTTTGTCGGCGTCAATAAAAGCAAGGCCCCAACAGGCAGAAATCAATTCGGGCTCTGGCGACAGAGATGAGTGTCCAGAGTTCGGACTCCAGTGGAGAGTTGAGTTTCCAGAGTTGAAGCCGCCTCGAGATAGCTGACCAAGATTCACGCAAAATTCCGGACTCTTCTTCAACCCAAAAACAATTATTTTGAAGAGCGACTTAGAACCAGACCACCGAAATAAGTTTTTCGACTTTCGTCCAAAGACACACCGAAACACCAATTTCTTAGCCTAGCGGAAACGACGTGTCACAATCCACAGAACGGGCCGGGAGATAGATGCAGTCCTATGTATCGAACAACTAGACATAAAGTTTGTTACCTTTTTCTTTGATACTTTGAACTTTTTGAGTTTTCATTTTTTTTCCTTTATGCATATTTGTGTAGTATCACCCCCGTTGAACTCAATTTGCATTACGGCACCAACCACTGTTTGATCTCGTCTGTCTAAGATCAATTCACAACGTGGGTAGGCAGACTGGAGATCAATGCAGTTACCTTGGTAACCAGGCGTTGGAAGCGAGTTGGGAACGACGAGGCTGATATCAAATCTAACCAGATTCCCACCCGAATCACCAAAAGGTTAGAACGCCACATTTGGGTGCCGCGACGATACCAAGCCAGTTGGTCGTCACAGGACGAGACAACACGACTGACGCGACAGGCGGACGTCACGTTTGGAGCAGCGACACCCGGACGGAGCAGCGAAGAGCGAACAGCTGGCGCCGCGGCGAGGACATCACAATTGGTGCTGTTTGGGGACGTCACAACTGGCGCCGCGGTAGATCAGGATAGAACGTCACAGTCGGCGCTGCGACCGGGGGACGACGTCACACACACACACACACACACACACACACACACACGCACACACACACACACACATATATATATATATATATATATACTTTTTTAATAGCAGTCTTTTGTTAAAATAAATGGAATCAACAAAAAAAATCATATCACGTCTTTCGCTTCGCCCTTTCCCTGTAAAATATAACATTAACAGATTTAGATTAAGTATCGATCATTAACTATTATCCTTTTAATAATAATCTTCACGTCTTACTACTTCCTTTTTCATATTTAGTCATCCCAAAAGATCGAACTTTTTCAGTTTCCTAGGCTTCCTGATTAATTTACGATCTAAAGAGAAAACCCTTCTTTGATTCGATGGCAACAACCGCATTTAGTTACACGCTACCTTGAGTGGATCTTGGGCGATGCATTACCGGAAGATAGCAAAAAGAAACATCATAAACGTCATTCATCAAAAACGTATCAAGAATAGCCATCTAACTCGAGTGGCTATTGAGTCTTCTATTTGGCGCATTTTTATTTATTGTTTCTATTAGAAATAAATGAACAATTTTTATTTTTATCGAGAATGAGTAATTTTAAAAATACCTATTTCTTTGCAGTTTTAATTGCATCGATAGTGATTCTGATATAATTTAATGTAAAAAAAAATTATTGTAAAAAAGGCATAATAAAAGTAATAAATTAAATTAACAAAAAATAATTTATAATGCAATACTTGTCAAACCTCCCACGGGTGTAAAACGAGGCAAGTCCGATGCAGCTGGAAGCTAGTTGTTTTTTTTGTTTCCTCTTCATCCTATACAGTGTACTTTATGGAAATCAATGTAATGAGCTCTTGAAATTCAGACTGGAGCAGCTGCCGTTTTCGTAACTAACGCCACGGGGCCCACTTCCTTGGTCAGAATCAGTGTGGATCCTTGGATGCGATGAGAGGCTCAGTTTTGAGATAGCACTTAACGCGCAGGTGGAGATTATTGGATTGTAGCGGATATCTAGGAAAGACAAGAGACGAAAAACTGCAAACTGAACGACTTCCATCACGAAGATATTGCATTTAATGGTAAAATCCGGTTTTATGTCAAATCGGAGTCGATCTTGAAAACAGATCAATAATGTGTCAAAGGACTATCTTTATCCGTTTTTATTCCCACAATCGATTCCGTTCTATATTTCCTTGCAACTATTTACAGTATGCATACACGAAACATTTTGGTCGTTTTGATTTTATCATTCTCTCTTTATCTATCTATCTATCTATCTATCTATCTATCTATCTATCTATATTTTTGTATCTCTCTATATATTGATCCAAGTCTTTTCGTATTAGTCTAAGTCTTTTCGTATCTATCTATCTATCTATCTATCTATCTATCTATCTATCTATCTATCTATCTATCTATCTTTTCGTATCTCTCTATATATCTATCCATGTCTTTTCGTATTAGTCTAAGTCTTTTCGCATCTATCTATCTATCTATCTATCTATCTATCTATCTATCTATCTATCTATCTATCTTTTCGTATCTCTCTATATATCTATTCATGACTTTTCGTATTAGTCTAAGTCTTTCTTTCTCTATCTATCTATCTATCTATCTATCTATATCTATCTTTCGTATCTATCTATCTATCTTTTTTCGTATTAGTCTCTTTATATCTATCTATCTATCTATCTATCTATCTTTTCTATCGTTTCGTATCTCTCTATATATCTATCCATGTCTTTTTCGTATTAGTCTAAGTCTATCTATCTATCTATCTATCTATCTATCTATCTATCTATCTATCTTTTTTCGTATCTAGTCTATATATCTATCCATGTCTTTCGTATTAGTCTAAGATTTCTATCTATCTATCATCTATCTATCTATCTATCTATCTATCTTTCATGACTCTTCGTATTAGTCTCTTTTCGCATCTATTCATCTATCTATCTATTCATCTATCTTTTTCGTATTATATCTATTCATGTCTTTTTATTAGTCTATCTCATCTATCTATCTATCTATCTATCTATCTATCTATTTTTCGTATCTCTCTATATATCTATTCATGACTTTTCGTATTAGTCTAAGAATGTCTTTTCGCATCTATCTATCTATCTATCTATCTATCTATCTATCTATCTATCTATCTATCTTTCGCATCTCTCTATATATCTATTCATGTCTTTTCGTATTAGTCTATCTTTTGGATCATCTTTTCTATTCACGTCTCATCTATCTATCTATCTATCTATCTATCTATCTATCTATCTATATCTATCTATCGTATTATCTAAGTCTTTTCGTATCTCTCATCTATATATCTTTCGTATGTCTTTTCGTATTAGTCTAAGTCTTTTCTATCTATCTATCTATCTATCCATCTATCTTTATTTTTGTATCTCTCTATATATGATCCAAGTCTTTTTCGTATTAGTCTAAGTCTTTTCGTATCTTTATCTATCTTTCTATCGTATCTCTCTATATATATCTATTCATATCTTTTCGTATTAGTCTAAGTCTTTTTCGTATCTATCTATCTTTTCTATCTATCTATCTATCTATCTATCTATCTATCTATCTTTTCGTATCTCTCTATATATATTTCATGTTGTCTTTTCGTATTAGTCTAAGTTTTTTCGCATCTATCTATCTCTATCTATCTATCTATTTATCTTTTCGTATCTTTCGCTCTCTATATCTTTCATGTCTTTTCGTATTAGTCTAAGTCTTTTTTTCTATCTATCTATCTATCTATCTATCTATCTATCTATCTATCTATCTCATCTTTATTTTTTCGTATTAGTATCTAAGTCTTTTCTATCTATCTATCTGTCTTTTCGTATTATATCTATTCATGTCTTTTTTCGTATTAGTCTAAGTCTTTTCATTATCTATCTATCTATCTATCTATCTATCTATCTATCTATCTATCTTTCTATCTATCTTTCGTATCTCTCTATATCTATCCATGTCTTTTCGTATTAGTCTAAGTCTTTTTTCTATCTATCTATCTATCTATCTATCTATCTATCTATCTATCGTATTTCGTATCTATTCATGTCTTTTCGTATTATATCTTTTCATGTCTTTTCGTCTATTATCTCTATCTATCTTTTCTATCTATCTCTATCTTTCTATCTCTCTATCTATTCATATCTATTAGTCTAAGTCTTTTCGCATCTATCTTTCATCTATCTATCTATCTTTTCGTATCTTATCTATTCATGACTTTTCGTATTAGTCTAAGTCTTTCTTTCTCTCTATCTATCTATCTTCATGTTTTCGTATCTCTCTATATATCTATTCATGTCTTTTCGTATTAGTCTCTTTTCGCATCTTTTCTATCTATCTATCTATCTCTATCTATCTATCTATCTATCTATCTCTCTATCTATTCATGACTTTTCGTATTAGTCTAAGCGTCTTTCTTTCATCTATCTTTATCTATCTTTCGTATTAGTCTTTTTCGTATTAGTTTTTTTCGCATCTATCTATCTCTATCTATCTATCTATCTATCTTTATCTATCTTTCGTATATATCTTTATCATCCATCCATCTTTTCGTATTAGTCTAAGTCTTTTCTATCTATCTATCTATCTCTATCTATCTATTTTTCGTATCTCTCTATATATCTATTCATGTCTTTTCGTATTAGTCTAAGTCTTTTCTCTATCTATCTATCTATCTATCTATCTATCATCTATCTATCTATCTATCTATCTTTTTTCGTATCTCTCTATATCTATATATTAGTCTAAGTTTTTCATGTCTTTCTATCTATCGTATTAGTCTAATCTATTCTTTTTCTATTAGTCTATCTTCTTTCTATCTATCTATCTATCTATCTATCTATCTTTTCGTATCTCTCTCTATATCTTTCATGTCTTTTCGTATTAGTCTAAGTCTTTTTCTATCTATCTATCTATCTATCTATCTATCTATCTATCTATCTATCTATCTATCTATCTTTTCGTATCTCTCTATATATCTTTCATGTCTTTTCGTATTAGTCTAAGTCTTTTTCTATCTATCTATCTATCTTTTCGTATCTCTCTATATATGTATTCATGTCTTTTCGTATTAGTCTAAGTCTTTTTCTATCTATCTATCTATCTATCTATCTATCTATCTATCTTTTCGTATCTCTCTATATATCTATTCATGACTTCTTTCGTATTAGTCTATCTATCTATTTCTATCTTTTCGTATCTATCTATTCATGTCTTTTCGTATTAGTCTAAGTTTTTTCGCATCTATCTATCATCTATCTCTATCTATCTATCTATTTATCTTTTATCGTATCTCTCTCTATATATTTTCATGTCTTTTTCGTATTAGTCTAAGTTTTTTCTATCTATCTATCTATCTATCTATCTATCATCTATCTATCTATCTTCTATCGTTTTTGTATCTCTCTATATATTTTCATGTCTTTCGTATTAGTCTAAGTCTTTTCGTTTTCTATCTATCTATCTATCTTTTCTATCTTTTCGTATCTCTCTATATATTTCATGTCTTTTCGTATTAGTCTTTTTTTTATCTATTATCTATCTATCTTTTCTATCTATCTATCTATCTATCTATCTATCTATCCTTTCGTATCTCTCTATATATCTATTCATTCGTATTAGTTCGTTTTTTTCTATTCATTCATCATCTATCTATCTATCTTTTCTATCTATCTCTCTATATATCTTTCATCCTTTCTATCTATCTTTTCTATCTATCTTTTTTTCGTATCTCTCTCTATATGTTTCATGTCTTTTTCGTATTAGTCTAAGTTTTTCTCTATCTATCTATCTATCTATCTATCTATCTATCTATCTTCTATCTATCTATCTTTCGTATCTATATATCTTTCATGCCTTTTTCGTATTAGTCTTTCGCATCTATCTATCTATTCTATCTATCTATCTATCTTTTCGTATCTCTCTATATATCTATTCATGTCTTTTCGTATTAGTCTAAGTCTTTTCATCTTTTCATCTATCTATCTATCTATCTATCTATCTATCTATCTATCTATCTTTCGTATCTATCTATCTATTCATGACTTTTCGTATTAGTCAAGTCTTTTCGCATCCTATCTATCTATCTATCTATCTATCTTTTCGTATCTCTCTATATATCTATTCATGACTTTTCGTATTAGTCTAAGTCTTTTTCTATCTATCTATCTATCTATCTATCTATCTTTTCGTATCTCTCTATATATCTATTCATGTCTTTTCGTATTAGTCTAAGTCTTTTCGCATCTATCTATCTATCTATCTATCTATCTATCTATCTATCTATCTATGTATCTATCTATCTATCTATCTATCTATCTTTTCTCTCTATATATCTATTCATGTCTTTTCGTATTAGTCTAAGTCTTTTTATCTATCTATCTATCTATCTATCTATCTATCTTTTCGTATCTCTCTATCTATTCATCTTTTCGTATTAGTCTAAGTCTTTTCGTCTATCTATTATCTATCTATCTATCTCTTTCTCTATCTTTTCGTATCTCCATCTTCATCTTTCGTATTAGTCTAAGTCTTTTTATCTCTATCTATCTATCTATCTATCTTTTCGTATCTCTCTATATATCTATTCATGTCTTTTCGTATTAGTCTAAGTTTTTTTCTATCTATCTATCTATCTATCTATCTATTTATCTTTTCTCTATATATCTATTCATGTCTTTTCGTATTAGTCTAAGTCTTTTTCTATCTATCTATCTATCTATCTATCTATCTATCTATCTATCTATCTATCTATCTATATTTTGTATCTATCTATCCTTTCGTATTAGTCTAAGTCTTTTCTATTCATATCTATCTATCTATCTATCTATCTATCTATCTATCTTTTCGTATTAGTCTAAGTCTTTTTAGTATCTATTTCTTTTCTATCTATCATCTATCTATCTATCTATCTCTATCTATCTATCTATCTATCCTTTCGTATATCTTTCATGTCTTTTCGTATTATAAGTTTTTTCTATTCATGTCTTTTTCGTATCTATCTATCTTTTCGTCTATATACATCTTTTGCCTTTCTATTAGTCTATCTTTTTTATCTATCTATCTTTTTTTCGTATCTCTCTATATATCTATTCATGTCTTTTTCGTATTAGTCTAAGTCTTTTCTATCTATCTATCTATCTATCTATCTATCTATCTATCTATCTATCTATCCTTTCGTATCTCTCTATATATATTCATGTCTTTTTCGTATTAGTCTAAGTCTTTTTTTCTATCATATCTATCTATCTATCTATCTTTTCATCTATCTATCTTTTCGTATCTCTCTCTATATCTTTCATCTTTTCGTATTAGTCTAAGTTTTTTATCTATCTATCTATCTATCTATCTATCTATCTATCTATCTATCTATATATCTTTCATCCTTTTCGTATTAGTCCTTTTATCTCTCTATCTATATCTATTCATTCATCTTTTCGTATTAGTCTAAGTCTTTTTCATCTATCTATCTATCTATCTCTATCTATCTATCTATCTTTTTCGTATCTCTCTCTATATATCTATTCATGTCTTTTCGTATTAGTCTAAGTCTTTTTCTATCTATCTATCTATCTATCTATCTATCTATCTATCTATCTATCTATCTATCTATCTATCTTTTCGTATCTCTCTATATATCTATTCATGTCTTTTCGTATTAGTCTAAGTCTTTTCTATCTATCTATCTATCTATCTATCTATCTATCTATCTATCTATCTTTTCGTATCTCTCTATATATCTATTCATGTCTTTTCGTATTAGTCTAAGTCTTTTTCTATCTATCTATCTATCTATCTATCTTTTCGTATCTCTCTATATATCTATTCATGTCTTTTCGTATTAGTCTAAGTCTTTTTCTATCTATCTATCTATCTATCTATCTATCTATCTATCTATCTATCTATCTATCTATCTATCTATTCATGTCCATTAGTTTCTTTTTCTATCTATCATTATTTTTATCTATCTATCTATATGTTATCTATCTTTTCGTAACTCAATTTATCTATTCATGTTTTTTTATTAGTCTAAGTCTTTTCCCTATTATCTATCTATCGATTTATTTGTTCAATGTCCATTTTTTTCTGTCTATTCGACATTATTTTTATTATTACTGGAAATGAACAGAAACTGTTTTTATGTTTTTTTTTTTTTAAACGAAATTTTGTTAAAATGAAATTTTTTAATCGTTAGTTATTATTACTGGAAATGAGCAGACACTGTTTTTGTGTTGTTTTTTTTTTTAAGTTTTGTTAAAATTGAAAGAATTGCGCGTAAAGTCAATTCATCTGCTTCCAGAAAGTAATAGACTTACAATATCACGTTGAAACATTAAGATCGTTGAGGTTAAGCAACTGCGAGACTGGTCAGTACCTAGATAGGTGACTGCTTGGAAATACCAGGTGCTGCAAGCCAGGATTGTGTAGTAATTGTAATGTGCAGAGTTGTTAATCGGGGAGTCTCGTTCCAATTCCCGTCGAGTTCGTAACAATCAAATACGCGCAAATACTCTTGGCAAAGGTATGAATCCACATCTTTACCTTTCCACCCCACCAGTTGTGGGTTAAATAATACAGTGTAACCCGGATATAAGAGACCCGGATATAAGAGAGATTTTCTTTGGTCCCAAATTAGAGCCTGTGTTAATGTATATAAATTATACCAATCCTGGATATAAGAGAAACCCGGATATAAGAGACTTCTTCTCCGGTCCCGACAACTCTCTCATATCCGGGTTACACAGTAGAACATGTATCAGTAAAAATTCTGATGATCTAGAAAAAATTCTTACAATCTAAAAATATTTTCTGGCGTTGAATAACCTGAAAAGGGTTGATAAGACATAAAACACAAGTCAATCTATCAATTAATCGGTACAGAAGAGGGGGATAAGAAAACATAATTTATGTCATCTTTAAAACTTTTAGCTGGATATCCGAATTAGTAGTCCTCGGTATCGAGATATAATACCAATTTTATTAATAGTCATAACGTACACTTGCCAGAGGTATTGGGTACTACTTTGGCTTGCTATCTACAATTGAAAAAAATATCTACTTTGACTCGTTACAAGGAAAAAATAATTACACCGTACAAATTTTATTTTGGAATAGTATCTACATAAAAAAAACAGACACTACTTTACATTACTAGCTTTTCCCTGTAGATAACAAGCGAAAGTAGAACCACTTTATATTATGTAGATATCATTCGAATTTAAAATTTGTGCATTGTAGATATTTAATCGATGTACATGCTGTTTTTCGCTAGAATATAAATAAAAGAAAAAAATAAATATTTTAATTACATTTTCTTTGTGTTATATATATGTTAGAATGTGTTTTATTATGTAGACATCGTTGCAAAATAAAATTTGTAAGTTGTAGATATTTTTTCTTAACTAGCCAAATTAGAACACGTAATAGCACCTGTACTTTTTCTAAATATCCTTTCGAATTTTATCTATCGATATATATATATATATATATATATATATATATATATATATATATATATATATATATATATATATATATATATATATATATATATTGTTATTATTATTATTATTAATACAAATCTTATAAGTATAAGAAACTATACTCGCTCAGAAAATCTTCGGTGTCTTCATTTGCAAATAATCAAACCAATACCAAAGGGGAAAAAAAGGTACATGAAAAAGAAAGAACCAAGAACATGTATGTTAACCCAAAATAATCGTCCAGCATGCGAGTCCAAGGCCAAAAGAAAAAAAAATCCGATACGAGTACGCAAAATAACTAAATAAAGTGTTCAATACAATAAATAGAGAAGACCTAGTTAAACCTAGAGAGTCAGACAAACCTACCACGGTTTCACATAAGCGGATCGCCTTCCCTGACGATCCGCTTATATATATGTATGTATATATATATAAAGAAAGAACTATATATAGGATATATAATCCAGTGTTCTTGTTATTTTTTTATTTTTATTTTTACAAAACAATGCTCACTGTAAATTTACAGAGCATAAATATTATAAATTAACTGATTTCAATTATATTTTTTGCTACACAGTAATAACCATGTTTCAAAAATGGAAGCTAAAAATTTTAAATTTAATTATATAATTAAATTAAAAGCATTAATTCCGTTTCATCTTCAAGCGAATATTGGAATCCACTATTCGTAGGTTTAGTGTCATTTTTCGATAAACAATGCGAATTTAAATCATTTTGTCTTGTATATGTACCAAACAATATTATGGTGTTATATACATTTTTTTTGAAATGAACAAAGTCCGACAATTATTTTAAAATATTTTTTTTATGTTTATACATTCTTTTTATCGATAAAATATTTAAGTAAATGCACTGTTTATAATGAACAGTATTAACGACATTTACCAGCCTGAATGTCCGAGAAATTTTCATAGAAAATATGCGTCCTCCGACAGGATTTGAACCTGTATCCTATACGCAACCGTTATAAAAATGTCTTAAAATACACTTTTCTGTATTTATTGTTTTTATTAATTTTTAATTTTGATGTATCAAATTATTTAACAAATGATCGAACAAATCTCATTCATTCATTAGCCTTTATTGTAATCGCTTACAATTTTTTTTATACAGATTTTTCTTATCGCACACAGTCAAAAATGCATATTTTGCTTGTGATTCATAATTAGAATTATGGTTTAAGTATATTTTTTATTCAATGTATCTAATACAAATATATCAGCTTCATTTGGATTTATTCTTGAAATAGTAAAGTTTTGTATGCAAAAACATGCGATAATTAGCTATTTCTGTAGATTTTTCAAAATATATTTAAAATTAAATGCTCAAATATAAAAAAAAAACTATTAATCAAATCTTTGTCCTCACAATTTAGCATATCAAGCCCCAGATTTCACATGTGCAATATTAGTTCATAGAAGAAGTGAAAAATCAACCGGCCTAATAAACATCTATATTCCCGACATTATTTAGTCTATCTAAAAAGTTTCATTGATAAAGTGGTGATCGGTTTTCCTTTATTATTAAGATAAAAAATGATTACAAGATCAATAAAAAAAACAAAAAAAAAACAACATATTATTTTAAATATGATTTGTTATCATCTCTTAAAATAATATTTGATTTGATTGCAAAACTGCATACATTAATCATGAAAAATAAACTTGCATCCATTTCATGTATTCAATCAGACTGTTTTTAATGTCAATTTTAAACATCTAAAATTAATATCAATTACACTATAATTGATATCTGCAGACTGAAAAATTTAAACTCGGTAATTTAAATATTCCAAAAATAAAGTAGATGTTATACAAATAGTGTAAGCTGCTAAAATTAATCGATTTCAATTATATTTAAGTGTATTTTGTGAAACACATTACGTAAAGTATGTGAAAATGCAATTCTTACAGTGTTAACTGTAGATTTGTTCAGATATGAAATGGATATTGATTAGGCTTTCTGTAGCAGGGATTGAAGAAAACCTGTTTAAATTTCCGAACGTTTTACAGGGTAGAGCATGTACGAAATATCAAAGAAAAAATTATATAAAATTCAAGATAAATATGTAGCTAATTAATAAGGAATTTTAATGGATTATGCTTATCATCATTTATGTGTCATGTCTTCCGGCATGGAAGATCATGGCGCTCAACAACTTCCAGTATATTGCATTCTAAGCAAATTTTGACTCTTTACCTTCCCTCTCTCGCTGCCACCCCTTCCTCGCAAAAACATTACATAAGTTTCCTGTGTTTTCCTCTGCACATCCTTCCGTCAAAATTCCCTGTGAATATTACAATTTGATAGCTGTCCGTCCTCGTAAGGTTTCGCAGAAATTTCAACTGTCACTATCAGATTTTTAGTATGAGCCTCTAGAAAGAAATTTTATTTATAATTTCTTTGTTATCTGTCTATATTTCTGAAATGAGGCATTATGTACACTATTTATATTATTCGGTCTATTGTCGCCATACTTATTACAACGTTTCGGCCGCTGTACGCTCCGACCTTCTTCAGTTGGTTGGAATTTCGAACTGAACCATTTATTTCGTTCACTGGGGCAGACTGTTCTAGTTCCACGCCCCATGTTTAATGGGTGTCAGTTATCAGTTATCTCCTGTTAATTCCCCTCTGCAAGCTCGCCACTGTCTTAACCGGGTATTGAACTCACACTCTTTGGGTCCTGTCACTGGATTTAACCAACGACTTTATCCACTGTTATGTGTCCTTGATAACTGACATCCATTAAACATGACACGTGGAACTAGAACAGTGAGCAAAATAAATGTTTCATTTCGACATTGCAACCACTTGAAGAAGGACGGAGCGTACAACGGCCGAAACGTTATGATAAATATGGAGACAAAGATAAGGACAATAGTCCGAATAATGTAAATAGTTAATTTCTTTGTTGCACACCAGTTCTGTTCATGATGTTATTATCGGCTGTCTCTAATTCAAAATCTCTATCGCTTCGAGCGAATTCTTCCTCAGTAGGGACATTGTTTAGAAATTTACTATCCCACAGGTGGATAGATATGAATTCAAAGAAATTCAGCACACTTTTCTTCATCTACACTATCTATAATCGGACTATTGTCCCTATCTTTGTTGTGACCCCAAGGATTTACCGTTGGTCCCTCCAGACTTCCTCAAATTTATATCGATTTGAGTAAGTTACATAGAATTCTGAACTGAACCCTTTATTTAATCTACGAGGTAGACTGTTCTCTTTCCACTGTCCATGGCGAGGGATATCGTATAATTCTTACTTTTAGTCTTGGTCAGTTATTGCTAGCCTGGTTTCATTGAGTCCAAGTACACAATACACAGAGATTGAACTCAACTATTGTCACCAAATTTAATCAACTAGGCCATTGTCCTATGTCATGTTAGTAAAAGAAAATAACAGGAACTTTCTCTTGACC